AATCATAAATGCCACTCGTAGCCATCAATTCCAAAACCCAATTTATTAGGGAGCTCTCTATACCAGGGGAGATGCATCAACTTAAGCATTTATATGGTAATAGGGATGAGTAAAAAAAATTAAAAAATTAATTAAAATAAAAAAATAAAAAAACTGAATCTTGAAAAAAAAATAAACCGATTAAAGTTTTAAAAAAACTAATCGATTTGGTTCAGTTTTATAAATTTAAAACTGAAAAAACCAAACCAAAATCTAAAAAACTAAGCAAAATAAAAAAAACCAAGTCAAAACAAAAAAACTAAGTCAAAATAGAACCAAACCAAAAAACCAAGTTAAATTGGTTTGAACAAATTGTTCTAAAAAATCAAACCGAATCGAATTAAAACTGATCGATTTGAATTAACTTTAATTTTTTTTAAAAAAATTAATTTAGTTATTTTTTTTTTATAAAAATTAAATCAAATTAAAAATAATATACATATATTAGATTTGCGTAGGTAAAAGATTATACACCATAATTGGCACCACGTCCAATCCAAAAATCTAACCTAATAAATTATGGATTCATTTGATATATAAAAACTTTTCTTAATTTGCTCGTAATTCCTTTCCAATATTTTATATTTATTACTTTGAAAGCATGCAGCTAGCTAATTTTTTAATAGGCACCATCTACTTTTCTTGGGTCAAAACTTCTCACAGAAAAATTGATTTAGAACTCGATCTTGTCATTTTGGTCCTGGCAATCCTTTGACAATGTCTCATTTAATTCAGTAGTTAAACATCCAATTAACTTCATATGATGTCTACGCAAATCTCAAAATTTACATGGACTCGAAGACCTCATAACATGTTTTATTAATTTATACATCAGCAGGTTCTCATACATAAGAGATTTATTTGATTAAATTCCTTGCATAAATAAACAAACAAGTGTTAATAAAATTTCACTCGTGAAAGTCTACCTACTCTTAATTATCCCATTTCTTTGTGTTTTAAGGACTTAATTACATGTAGCGCCCGAAAGAAATATTGTGAAAATACAATTAAAAAAAATTCAAGAATAAACTAATACCATTACATAAATGGAATCCAAAATTGGCTTTGACATTAAAATCGAACTCTAATGACTTATAATCTTCATAAATATTTTCCCTTACTTATTACTTCTCCACATATATAAAAATACAGAGAAAGCAACTGCCATGAAGGAACCCTAATCTCAAAATCTAATAAAATTTATAGAAGAGAGCAGACCTTAAATTTTGATGAAGTTGTCCGATGCCGTCCTCATTAATACCCCATCCGATGATGGTGAAATTAATGGTCAGTACTATGGCGAGGGCTTGAGATGGGACTCGATCGGCGGTGGACTTTGAGCCAGGCAGGGGGGCAATGGAGCAGTTACAGTGGACATCGAGAATGCAGGTTGCTGTATATGAAACTATAATTTTTTTTATTTTTTTATTAATATAAATATCTAAACTAACTTGAATATTTTTATTAAACTAACAAGATCAACAATTAAGTATTAGTTTATTAATAAGATGCTTTTTGAAGTATTTTTTATTAAAAAAATATATTTTTTTATTTTTTGACATAGCATATTAAAACCATAAAAAAACTAAAAATTATTATTTTTATATTAAAAAACAATTCAACAGACATGTTAAACTATATTTACCAGAGAACAACCATCCATAGTAAATATAGCTAATAGTAGGCATGAAATACCCCATTATTTAAATAGATTTAACAAGACAAAGAATTAGAAATTGCTAAATCAGTAAAGATTAGTATTGCATTCAAATGAAAGTTGGTTAAAAATTATTTTAACAATTTTTTAGATTATTTTAACATATTAATATCAAAAATATTTTTATTTTAAAAAAGCATTATTTAATATATTAAAAAAAAACATTTTCTAATAACAAAGACAACACCTCCATACTTTCCACGTACCTAAACGAAGAGTGACCTTAAAAAGACTCCATCACATGCAACCATGTCGGGTTATGTGTCCACGTCTTCCAAAACCTATTAGCCATATGGTCCCCTCTTGTATCCTTTTCCCACGTGTCACTTCATATCAATTTTCCACGTGGCACCAATAAAAAATACAAAAAAAAAAACCGACATACATATCCACTTCTAGTGTCGGCCTTTCCAAGTTCTAACCAACATGTGGACATCAGAATGCTTCAGATTGTCTCCCATATCAACGGTCTAGATCACGATCCCATCCCATCAAATCTTAGCCGTTGATTTAAGGATGCTCATCGTAGTCAAAGCCAAGTGCGTCAAACACCAAGAACTGCAGTAAATCCATGCGTGCAGGGTACGATTCGCACGTGTGGTTGCTAGAGGGTTTCAAAATTGACTAGTGGCAGCAATAGAATAACAAAGAAGTAGAAGCAGCAGCGAAGCGAGCAAGCACGGCGGCTGTGTCAGGGTGCGGGTTAAGTAGGGTCAGGGTCAGGAACATGTGAGTCAGGTGTCCTTGTAAATAATAAAGTTTATTTTAAAACATTTTTATTTTATATTAAAAAATATAATTTAATTTTTATGAATATATTGTGTATATAGGGTTTTTTTATTTCACATTTAAAAAATAAAATTTTTATCTAATAAATTTTAAAATTATATAATAACCGTCAAGTAAAGAATAATTGGTTTATATATATAAAATTCAGCTAAACAAGGAAATAAACCTTTGATTGCCTTCTATTTAATCTAAATATTTTATCTGTAGTAATAATTTCTCATAAAATCTTAATAAATTTTTTATTTTAAATTTTTTTTAATAATTTTAACAATTTAATTCTCTAACAATTCTTTTATTTTTTAAACTATTGTATTAACTTTTTAATTTTTAAATTATTTTTTGCCTAGCTATTACATGTTAACATTCTAATATATCACACTTTTACAATCATAATATGCTGAAAAATCTATAATATTTTCATGTGTTTAGAGAGCTTATTAGTATTTTCTTTTGATCCTGATCTAATTATTTTTATTATTTTTATTTTAATAAAAAAATTATTAAATCCTGAAAAATGACCTTAAAGAAATATATTTAAAAATAGTGTCCATGCAAACTTCAAATTTTATATTGTTTTTTAATTAACACGAATATTTGAGCTAATTTATACATATCTTAACTAATCTCATGGATCTTAAAGTTAATAATTATACAGGCTTTCAGTGGCTTGAAAGTTCGTAAGACTCGAACTAATACTATATAGGGAGCAAACTCAATACTTGACCAGTCAAGTTATACTTATCAAGATTTTACTTTGTTTTTATTCTCTTTTTATTGTTAATATAAGTATCCATCCCAGCTTATACGCAATTCAACTGATCCCACTTGCTTTAAATTTAGCAGCTATATAAGTTTCCGGTGGTCCTGAGATTTGTAAGATTTAAATTGATGATTTTTAAAAAATAAACCCAGGATCTGATCAATTAAGCTACACTTATCAAAATTTTATTTTATTTTTATTTTTTTATTAATTTAGATATCCAAATCAATTTACATATACCTCAATTAATTTTATAAATTTTAAAATTAATAATTATATAAATTTATAATAATCCTAAAATTTACCGGTGAAATGGAGTAAACTTATAACCTGATTTTATTTTTGTTTTTTTTTTTAGATTAACGTGGGTGTCCGGGCCAGCTTGCGTGTACCACGACTAATCCCACGGGCCTTGAAGTTAACGACCATGTAAGCCTCTAGTGGTTATCATATGAGCAACCAAGGACTCGAACCTGAGATCATAGAAGAAACAAACCCCTTAATTCCAAGTTTTTATCACTTGGCCATCACCTAATGCTTATTTTATTTTTGTTCTTCGTCGTACAAGAGGTGGGTGCATGGTGGCTCGTGAATGGGGCTAGCCTTACGGGCTCACGTGAAAGAATCTATTACTTTCCTTTACAATTTCTTGGCTTTTCATGTTTTATTTTGCTCAGAGGCAGGTGACTTTCTCTTCTTTTGATGGTACCATGGTGCATCAGCCATTGACCGATTGACAATAAAGGGTCATGGCCTGGGGTTGGGCTTGCAGGCCTATTGTAGCCTAGTGTTCACGAAGGTGACCCAAAAGCCCTTTTTAGACTACAAAAAGTGATGGAGGGGGTCAGATTTATGGGGTTTTATGTATCTCTTGCACTTCATGAAGATCTTATCCATATTGGTTTTTCTTGCGTCTGGGAAAGCAGTTTTCATTTTTTTTTTTTATAAATACTTATAAAATATAAAAATAAATAATATTTTATTCATTATAATTTAAGCATGTATTGGATCACAAGTAATGTTAATAAGTAATGCTAATGTAATTTGTAAAAAAAAAAAAAGAGAAAAGAAATATATATCTTATATTTTTATAATTAATTTTAACATTTATAACTTTTAAGATAAAATTAAATAACAACTATCCAGTTTAATTTAAAATATAATTATTTTTTAACAGTCATAATATTAAAAAATATAATATTTTATTATAATATTTTCAAGTCTGACGAAATATGTTATTAAACAAAAAACTATAGACAGTTAAAAAAACATATATATTTTTTTAATTTTTTAAAATTTATAGGATTTAATTATATCTTAAAAATATTATATTTATATAAAACAACTAAACACTTTAAAAATAATATTTCCACACTTCTAAACCAAATATTTATTTGTTTCTATTTTAAACTATATCTCTACCAAGTGGAGCATCCAAGCAAGACAAGTTTAGTACACTACAAAAGTGAATCTTGAAAAACCTTATACATAAGATCCCATTATCTATGGCAACAAAGCAAGCAACGCAAAAGGATTCTACACCTAAGAAAAGAGAATATCGTGGACATTTTCAAGTACAAGAATTATTCAATTAATTCTAATGGTATCTTCATTACATATGGTTTGTATTATACAATAATGACTAGCATAAGATTGTCACGTCACTTGTGACTGCCGTCCATTGCGTTTTTCGAGCTAGGTTGCTTGAGAAATTCTAACCACGCAACAATGACTACAAAGTTCTTTCACTCCTTCCTCCTCCATGGGCTCAGAGCTCCTCCATGCATGTCTAGTTGCTGTGGTGTCGAAAATAAGGACCATTGACATTATACGTGACAATTCCCCAGCCATCCTATAACCTGCCATGAAAAATAACTGAGTCCCAATTGGTGCCATCGTGAGATATATCCTTTGGATTGGTGGCCAATTTTCATCGCTGGCTTCTGAAGTCGAGATTGGTGAGCTGAGAGTTTGCAAATGTGATCCATCAACAACATTCCATATGTTGAGCTTCCCATCATAGGCTTCGATGTGACCTTTCCATGCCTTTAAGCAATCACCAGAGCTGAATAGTCTTCCTTCAATTTCTACAATTTGATTTGGTGGAACATCTAATTGCCACATTCCTGCCGCTAGATCCCACTTCCCTGTTTGTGGATCATACACCTCGGCAGAGCTCCTTTCGGTTATAAATGGCACCGTTTTATCGGAGTCCCCTCTCATGGCAAACCCCCCTACCACATGAATTTTACCTTGCCATGTTACACCTACACATTTGTACCTCAATGTGCTCATACCAGGCAGGGGGTTCCACACATTAAGAGTTGGATCATATACCTCGGCACAAGAAATCCCCCTTCTACTATCCAAACTGGACTTGCCTCCTGCCACATAAATTTTATTTTCACATATAGCACAAGCAAAATCGTATCGTGGCACGCCTAAGGGTGCACATTGAGACCATTGGTTAGAACGAACATTGTAGCGAAGAACCGATCGTAGCACCTCAACTCCGAGGTCGATGAATTCGTCGGACTCGTCGAAATTGTGAGGTGGTCGCGCTCTGCTATATTGCAATCCACCAATTATGTAAATTGAATCACCTAACGTAACCATTGCAAAACCTTTCAAGACATGGTTTTCAATTAGGCCAGGAATTGAGCTAACATAACTCCATGTGTTACTTGATGGGTTGTAACATTCTATCCAATTGGAAACATTCTTGTGGCAAAATGAGGCATAGACCCTATAGCTCGATGGGGAAAATTCGGGAGATGGTGGTGGCGTTGTTGGCTGGGGTGGAGAATGGAGGGAGCCCATTGAAGCAGTACTGGCAAAGGTAAGGTGGTAGTACTAGCTAGTAGCTCCTATATGCTTTTAACCAATCTTAGGTGAAATGGGAATTATATGTAGAGAAAAATGGAACATATAAATAACACAGCGGAGAACACAACATAACGGTTTCTTGTGTGCATCGACCAAGGATAATGCATGGTGGGTAGCTAATGTTAAGATTGGAGCATTATTCTAGGACAATATTACCTAGTTGATGACCAAATAATCAAGGCATAATCAGGTGTGAGGGAAACTTTTGGTGGGTTATTGTCTCTTGCATTGTCATATTTGGATTACGATAAAGATTTTTCTGAGAAATCGAAGCTAAATTAGAGGCAGAATCCGGCTGTGGACCTCGAAATAAAGAATCTTCGCTAAATTGGTGGCCCTTTTGTTCTTCTAAAAGATATAGCAATAACATCCTCAATTTGTATTCATCTTTGGCCATGGTCGATATTGAGATGCAAGTAACATTTACCTTTTCCGAATTTATTGTATGATAGGTTTAAGCAAGGAAATAACAATTCATCTTGAGAGAGAAAAAAGGGGTCAATGCTTTGGAATCGTCTTTGGGACATTGCCGAGCAAGTATATATGGCTTTGCAATATCGAGTTCATCTTGTCATAGCTTTAATACAAGCAATAGCGCCTGCAATGCTATCAATTGTTTTCTGCATGACTTATTGAGCAGTCTTTTCTCTGTCATTTCATTTAATAATTAATTAATGATCAAGAGCGCATCTCGATTTCTTAATTTGAAATGATCATTGATCACTGTAATGAAAAAAAACCCTAAGTTTTGAAGGCTTGAATACTCATCTAGAAGTGGTCCTAAGCATGGAAGACTCACATATGTACATATGCAGGCATGCATTTAACCAATGAATCTACTCTGAAAAGGCGCAAAAAAAGAAGGAAAAGGGAGCAAATCCATATGACATACTACCACATGATACTAGAAATCTCGAATCTCACACTCCTGTTCTCATTAGGCCAACACAAGATCGGCTCTAGGCATTAGGTCCGATTACCAAGAAATGATCCTTTTGGCCCTTTTCACTCATGTTAATAAAGTAGCTAGTTTTATAATCAGATGTTATCTTCTGGGATCACATCTGTATCTTCTCTTTATCTTTGTAGCTTCAAGGGCTAATCAAGTTGTTTTGAGCAGTTTTTTTTTACCCTTTTCAAATTGGAATGTTTGATCTCTGTAATTAGTATAGTTGTCAAATTCCATTTAATGCATTATGCATTAAAGAAATGATGTCATTGGGATATCAGATCAATTTTCTTTTATAACGGTAAATAATATTGTTTTCATATTTTTTAATATTAATTTAATTGGATTTGTATCATATTAAGTTTGGTTTTGATTAGATCTCGAATTTTTAGTTTATCCTATCCAGTAGTGCCAACAACTATAATAATTAATATTCTTTTTAATTACAAAAAAAATCTTTTTTTTATTTATTTGTCTTCGGATAAAAAGCTATCTAGTGGTTTTTTTTTAAACAAAATCCCATATAACATTTCTTTAACATGCAAACTTATCTGATGATCTACCTTTTAATTCCTCAACTAATAACATGAATATAAAAGAATTGAAAACACTTTTTATTATTTTATATTCAAGAACATGGCACACCATTTAGAAAAACCATAATGATTTCATAAGTGCCAAAACCCTAGACAAATCCTTCTCCACTCCCAACTCCTTGTCACGATAAAAATAAGATTCTGTTTATTTCAATAAGATTTTATTTATTTTAATGTTTTTGAAAAAAAATAATTTTTTATTTTTTTATTTTCAGATTATTTTGATGTAATTATTTCAAAAATAAAATTTAAAAAAATAAAAAAATTATCATCTCAATATATTTTTAAACAAAAAAATATTTTAAAAAACAAACACTAATATAATAACAAATAAACTCTTAACCTATAAGTTTGGATTTTCAAAAAAAAAATTAATATTTAGGGTGATCATTGTTTGTTGTGCTTTTAGAATGTGGAGCATAAAAGCCCATCTGTCAAAAGTTTAAATTTATCAATCCAAGTGATAAAGGCTCTAAATATTTTGATGTCGGAGGATTTATGTCTATGAAGATGTTTGATAGGTGGGAATTATAAAATTTGATAATGTGGCATCCATTTGAGGGATGAGCTACAATAATCAAGATTGATGTTTAGGTCAATAATTGCACATAATGGAGTTATTGAAAGTGAACTTTGAAAATTGAGCTATGAACTCCATAATTCCATTCAATTCTATGTAGTGGACTTATCGAAAGTGAACTTTTAAATTGAGCTATGATGAACTCCATAATTCCATTCAAATAAGGACTCATTATTTAACAAGGAAGTTTTGATTCCACTTCTTATAGGTCTAAAAAGTCCTTAGAGAGAATTTTCGTTGATTGTTCAATCAATTACTTGAATGATTTGTCAATTGTTATCAATTGCTTATTTGGAGTCCCACAAAAAAAGGGTTCTTAACTTCTATCCAAGCAGTTACACGAGTCCCAATTCAAGAGCTCGATCCTAGCATGGTGATGCTAAAGGAATAGCTCCATGAAATGAGTCGAGGCATTGTAGTTGACTGGGTAAGGGACGTGGAAATAGTATTTCAAGACCCATTAATTATATGCCCGCGTTGATACGCTTAACTCTCCATGAAACCATATAACTGTTGGCTAAGCAAATCAATGGATAATCTTGATCCAAAGGTGAAGGCATTATGTGTGGTTATTGGCAAGCGTGCAGTCACTCTGGTGAAGGTTGTGGCATTCCATGGTTAGCTTGGGATAAGGTGTACATGAACAAGAAGAATTGTGGAGAATTTCGAAGCATCCCTCAATTCAATGTTGCTTTGCTTGCTAAACAAGAAAGGAGATTGGTATCCTTCTATAGCACAAGTCCTACAAGCCAAACACTTTCCCACCACTAACTTATGGTCTGCATTGTCTGAGATGTATTTCGGCAGCTAGATAGCTTTAAGCAGAGGTTGTAGCTAGATGGGTTATTGGTAATGGGAGTCAGGTCAACATAAGGACTGATCAATGGCTGCCATGTTATTTGGACTTCAAAGTTCAATCTCCTAAGCCAGTGGGTATATCTCAAGAGTGTCAGTGACCTCGTTGACGTGGAGAGTTGTTCTTGTTGTCTCACTGCTATCAGTTTGATGCTCTCCAGATCCGACATATCTCTTTGAGTTCTTGATTTTAAAAGGATAGAATGCTTTGACACTTTTCTAAGAACGACGAGTACACTTTTCCGAAGAGATATGGGAATGCTATTGCCCATGCTCTAGGGCAGTTAGCTAATCCTAGTATTTCTCAGAGAACTTGAGTGGAAGATGTCCTCGATTCTGTTTTATCTCTTGTACTTCTGTATTCTCCGTTAGTTTAATGTTATGTTTATTCCTAAAAAATGCACAAACAAGACCAGAAAATGAAAGAAAAGGATGCAAGCTTCCAGTAAGAAGAATCCGCAAAGGTACATGAACAAGCACTACCAAACTGGGAATGAGAACAAACTTGGCATGGAACTGTGAGGTCCAGCTAGCCTCGAGAGAGTCCGAACAATTGGATTGGCTAGTGATTGTGAGGAATCTGGTACAATATTTTGCGCCTATAATGTTCTCTGCTGTAGGCTACCAGATGGTTAAAGGCTCATGATAAGGAAGGCCGACTTCCAGAAAAAGCCTAGTGGAAAATCCTGACCCATTGAAATTTCAGATACCAAATTTTAAGAAAGCCCATATAATCAAGTTATAAAACTAAGGTTTCGAAACTTGATCCAAATTAAGTTTATTTCTAATGGGATTTCTTTAAATCCAAATTGATTTTATAAAAAACCATAGATTGATTTGCAAGCAAATTCAAGGTCCAAGTTTTGCTCTGGGCGACTATGCATGCAACCCACATCAAAACAGAGATGAGATAGTAGTCTGGAAGGACTCCATGGAGTTTCCAATGTGGAAGACAAGCTTTGTTTTGTTGGCACAGAATGACAACTTATCTGGGAATGTGTGTCCACAAGCTCCATCAGCAGGCTAGGGCAGGACTGAGGAGTTTGAAAAAGCAAGTGATAGGGCACCATGCCACTGGCAAATATAGAAGGAAGCTGTGGAGTGAGACAAGGGAATTTAATGATTATGAAAAAGCAAAAAGTCTTTGGAGAAGAAAACAACGGCGTAGAGGGTAGAAATCCAGGAAGCAGACCTACCGTCTTCCCACATGAACAAATATTGTAAAAAGGCAGCTAAGGCAAAAAATAAGACTGATTTGATGGATCATTAGAGATCTCCAGAGCCAACTTTATCCACTTGTGATGCATGTGATGGTCTAAATCATGGATGCTCCTTCATAGCTTCAATTAACCTATGCTACAGAAATTATCAGTGTAAGAACCTTTTTACCGTGACGAGCAAATCATTATTGTACAAATATCAACTACTCGGGCCCTGTCAGGGGTCATGGCTGGTGCAGGGCTAGAGTCTCAGACACCACCATTGCCGTTTCATGTTCGGTTGTGATATGTTCTCCATACCTGAGATGATAAAATATGGGGAGCTTCTCATGTAGGGTTGTTTTTTGAGTTATATATCGTGTATGCTTTTGTATATTAGTATATGAAAAATATATAAAAACTACTAAATGATTTTTATCATGTAAATTAAAAATTGAACTTTAAATATTTGATTTTTAACATATCATTTTAATGTAAACTATGAGGGTTTTTTTTTCTTTTCTAAATTCAGATATCTAAAAGCCCTCTGGATCTTAACTATTCCAATCAAATCAAGTTTATTCATTAAAAAATAAAGTTCTCCCAGCAATAATATACTTCATTTACAATATTATTTAAAAATAAATAAATATTAAATTATTTAGACAAACTATCATTGATATCTTGCAAAGCATATTTCTTCAAAATCTTCATAATGATAAAAACCTACCTCTCAATAAAGCTTTCATCACCAT